GACCACGACGAATGTCATGCTGATTCGGGTCGTATGAGGACCGTCGCCGATTTCTACTGGCAAGGCGATGGTGCCCTCGGCGTCGATGCAATCCCCAGTGAAGCCGGACAGCGGGGTGCGTAGGGGGTGCAGCATGTCCTTCCTGAGCTTCATCCCTTCGAAAGCCTCCCAGTAGAGGACGTTCACACTGCTCCCGGTGTCAACAAGGACGCGCCGGACGATGGCATCGTTCACGTCCATGCTGATCACCAGCTCGTCCCTGTGCGGTGCCGGTGACATTGGCAGATCAGCGGGGCCGAAGGTAATCGCCTCGATCTTATTGCGCTTGGTGGGGGGTGCTGATACGGAACCCACATACAGTGATCTCTCAAATTTCTTCCGTTCGGCGGGTGTATCTCCCGTCTCAGCGCCCCCGAAGATCACCTTGATCTCCAACTTCTTCTTCTTGCCCTTTGGGCCGAGGGATCCCTCCGGACGTTTATCTGCACTTCGATAATCCACGTCCTGAGGTTCCGCCTCGCGCCGATCGTCGCGGCGCCATGTCTTGTGCCTTGAGTTCGGCTTCTGCTGGCTGTTTTTGTTCAGCAGCTGGTTGAACTCGCCCAGGTGCCCCTGACGGATCAGTTCGTCGATCGCTTTCTTTAATTGGCTGCAATTATCCGTCAGGTGGCCGGTCCTCTGATGGTATTCACAGTAGGCCGATTGGTCGTGCCCCATATGCTTATTCATATCCTGGGGTTCCGTTAGGAGGCCCTTGTCCTTGATGGCCTCAAAGATTTGGCTCACTGGATAGGCCAAAGGGACATAGCGGTCGTCCGGCCGTGCTTGGGTGTCCCCGGACGGAGCCTTCCAGGGGACCATCGCCCCGTCTGTCCTCTTCTTTTTGTTTGGGGGGGAGGGCCCGGGTCCCGGCCCGGGCCCGAGCCTGTCCGCCATCTTCCGTGGGTGGGCCGCGGGAACTCCGTCCCGCTGCCTGATCTCCTCCTCAATGGAGGCATACTTCTGGGCCCGAGCAAGAACCTCGGTGTAGCTGGTGCCGGGATTCCTCCTTAGGTCCCGGTATAGGTCCCCTGTGGCCAGCGCACTGGTGAACATGTTGGTGGCCAGACGTTCGTCCAGATCGTCGACCTGCAGGACCTCGTCCCTCCATCTTACCAGGAACCTAGCCAGCGGTTCGTCCCGCCCTTGTTTGATGTGGGCGAGAGCCGTGACGTCCTTCCTGGGGGTGGTGCTGGCAGCAAACTGCGCCATGAACTGCTGGGAGAGCTGTTCGTATGAGTCGATGGTGCCTGGCCTCAACTGGCCGAACCATTCTTGCGCCGGCCCCCTGAGGGTGCTGAAAAACAATCTGCAGATGGCCTCGTCTGATGCTCCCAGCATGGACAGGTTCCCTTGGTAACTTATCAGATGGGCCTTGGGATCGCCAGCCCCATTGTACACCAAGTTGCCCGGGGGCCTGCAGTCCCGGGGAATCTCGACGCTCATCACCCGTGGAGTAAAGGGAGATGTGAGAGAGAAAGAGGGTGTGGCCGAGCCAACGTCCGCCCGCCTATTCATCTCGGCTATCTGCCTTTCCATGGCCTCCAACCTTGCATCCTGTGCGGCCCTTCCGGGGGACACAGGGGGCGCGGCTTCGGGGACGGCATTCTGCTGAGCGGCCACAGCATCGTGCGGCCGCCTAAAGATCTGCGCACCTCGCCGTTGAAAACGTCGTCCAACGGTATTGATCCTCGGGGTCTCGTCTCCCCGCGGGATTTGGCGGGGGACTGATGGTGTGTGAGCCCTGGATGCAGCGATGCTGATTCTGGTTCGCCCTCCCGTTCCACGGGAGCCTGAACTCCCACCTAGCCGCTCGTGGACTGAGGGCCGGTGGTCGCTGGATCCTGTCGTATCGTCATACGACTGCATGCGGCGTATGGGAGAGAGGGGCGTTCGCTGGGTACTTGCAGAGTACACCTGGTCTCGGGCCTCCCGCTCGTCCGCCAAGCGACGCATGGTGTCTGCGAGTTCCCGCATGAGGCGAGGATCCTGCCTGGCCTCTAGAGGAATGAGGTCAGTGATACCCCCGTTTCCCCCGGAAGTCCATATTGTAGCGGACAGTTCCGAGTTCTGGCCGCGATTCCGGCGGCTTGATTCCAGACGCTCGGAGAGATCACGCTGGTTGTTGCTTCCTGACATCGTGTTTGCTGTAGGTAGACTTAGTAGCTGTTTGGGAGAGTTTCTGGAAACTTTTTGCTCAGTTTCCCACAGACGGCGCCAGTGTTGAGGTTTATTCCTTCAACCCTTGGACCCAACACGTAAGCCCAAAGATTTCGAGTGGAGTGAGTGTATGAATGTCTAGCCCAACAACTATCAGATGGATCAGGAGACAAAAGTAATAGCAGGCAATGTAAATAGGTATTATTAACTCCGTAATAACTCCCCTAAGTACAATCTACTTGCTAAAAAGGCATGTCGGCCGTTCGTCTTACAAGGCACTTAGAAATGTTGCTAGTAAGAATGCTGAAGCTAGTATGCTAAGAATAGAAAGTTGCCAACCCTTTACAATGAAATAAATGCTTCTATTTATACCCGCCAATGGGCAGGTAGCTCTACTGACGTGGCAGCCTGCGGACCGCTGGTGTCCCAACTACCAAATCTTCAGCATTAAATGCACTTCCCGCCAGAATCTAGGTTTCCCGCCGGATTAGTGGGGACGTTCGTCCATCCGGGAAGTGAGTTGGATTGCTCCAAGTGACCCTTGAGGGATATTGGCCGTTCGTCTCCTGGCCTTGATAGATACCCACCATGTGCACTGGGTTTTCTCCGACGACTACATGCTTGCTTTGGGGACGTTCGCCGGAATGAGCTGCTGGGCCGGAATCCTCCACCACCAGACGTTCGTCCATCCCTAAAGAACATGGGCCTGTGTGCTGGCCTAGTTCCTAGCCGGACGCTCGTCTGGCAAAATGGGTTAGTGGGCCGGACCTCGGCTTGGGCCCTTAACCCAACAACCCTATTTAACCTTATGCGTATTTACCTCTTGATTTTAGGTGTCCCCTAATTTCCTCAGTATCCTGATTATATCCTAGCCCTCATCTCCTTTGTTGACAACGATACATTCGAACCACCATTGCGGCTCCAGTGCGTCCCACTTCTGAAGCTCCAGGTCCTGCCCCTGATGCCTTGATATTTATGGAATCTATCATTCCTGAGCCGAAGTTTGATGAGTGCGGCGATGAAACAAACCCTAGCTCGGGGAGTGGTGGCGGAACTACAGGGCCAGTGGAGACGACCATGGAGACAAACAGAGAAGAGGGCTGGATTACAAAGCAGGCCCGAATCTAAATGTGGAGGAAAAATATGTGAGAAACCCGGATTTGGAATATGGTGTAGAGGTCAATTCTCCTCCACCCTGTTTGTCGTATCTGGCTGAAGCACGAATCAACGGCCTACCATCCTTCAACTTATTCTTATGTAGCTATTTGAGGCTCCTCCCATATCCTACAGACGATTTTGATGTGATTTGTTTACCTCCAGAGAGTAGGGGGCTCGTGATGGTATTATGAATTGTGACCATAGCCCAATGACGAATCAGAAGTGAAGCCCATTGTACATGATTAATAAACCAAGCCCATTAGCCGTGATTAATTAATGAATAAAGCTAATTGGTCCTAACAAGGGACCATGTCCCGCGAAGGAAACCCACATCCAGGCTGACCTAATTAGTAGGCCTCGAGCATGGGCGGAATTTTAGTGAGGTCGGACTCACCCTAGGGCTTACGTGGCAAGCCATCTTCGACGCATGGTTATCTGGCAGCAGAGTAATAATTGTGTAGTTATGGGAAACCTTAGAAGAGTCTTATTATGATTAGTCCTATTGAATGTACCTGCTATGTCTCCTTGGGCTATTGTAGCTCTATGTCTACAAATACTTCTTGTACTTACCCTAAAGGAGATTCGTGCTCTGAATAATAATACTGTCTAACACTGCGGAAATACTTTATTCTCGTAGATTAGTTCTTGCGGTTGGAATTAAACTTTATTAATTATAATTTTAAGAAGAAAAAATTATGATGTCAAACGACAAGCATGAAGGGAAGGGGGTTCACCCTCTAAGTAGGGGTGAACGAAATCAACCATTCCTGTTGTATCTCACCCTTATACTCACCATATTTGTAAAGTTTTTTTTACCTGTGAATTCGGTTCACAGACAAATTATGTCTTTATTTTGCATAGACAAAATAAAATATAAAAGTTGATATAATGGTGAGCACACATGTCTTTTTTGGAACAAAATTGGACTCAATGAGAGGAGGTAAACCGCTCATAAATTCATAGAGGCCGTTTGGTGGCACCTTTTTTCGGCTTATCAGGTTTATGACCAACTTTTTCACCAAACACGTAATTTTTGGTTTCGCGCGCTGAATTATGAAATAATAAGAAAAAATAAGATTGGAGTTACTTTTCTTACTGTATTGACTGAAGTTACTGTTGGGGTCATTTTAACTTTTTTTTCATATAATTTTTTATTTGATTTATTAATAACAAATATTTTAAATATAATTTTTTCACAAATCAGCAGAATCAGCCAATACAATCACTTCTGACAGAACTTCATAAATTTCAACAGAATCAACTAATTTAACCCATTTTAGTGTTATCAAACATTCAAACATACTCTCTCCGTCCCGAAAAGGTTGACCAAATTTCCTTTTTTGGATGTCCAAAAAGATTTTTCATTTCCATTTAAAGTAAGAAGTATGCGGCTAAAGATAATTCCCTCTCCTTTGCAAAAATTTCAATTCACGTGAAAATCAATTTTGACCAACTTTTTTCGGAACTGATTGTAATAACTAAGTCAATGATGCCAAACATAATGATGAGTCACGCGAATTTGGTTTGAACATGGGCAGAAAATAAGAATCGCAAAATAATTAAAACATTGAATCATTTGGCACTTCGGTCAAAATAGAAATAAGCGAAGCATGAGGACCAGTAATGAAAACGAAGTGGGGACCTTTTGTTACACTTTTTCGTAGCCGTCGCAGTCTCCCTTCGTTTCAAATCCATATCTTCTGCCACCATTAAAATAAAGCTTAAATTGCTCTCTCCGCTTTCTTCTCCATGACACAAAATTATAACAGTAGTACAAATTATTAATATCTTTAGATATATTATCTCTTCCGCTTAGGTGGTTCCTTGTATAGAATTCAGTCCGTAGAGCTATAGAGAGAGGACAAGGTGGGTTAAGAAATCGAAAGCAGATTCAGAACCGATCCAATTCCATCCATTCAAACGAAGAAAGAAGAAACCAGGGAGTTTCCACCCAATTTCGTGTTTCCTGAGGGAGATAAAGATTCAAGGTGGAAAACTGTGAATATTAGTAGAACGTATTAATTAGTTGTGGGGAGAGGAGTTATGCGTATGAGTAGGTAAATGCATCAGAAGAAATCCGAAGTTCAGATCGGAAAAGAAAGCAGTTGCGTCTCTTCCGATTTCAACCCGACCTTGCTGTCGTCCTCTTCTTCGCTTCATCAGAAACACCCCCAACAGCATTCCCATCTCGGCCCACAAGCTTTCTTCTTTACCAGCGGAGGCGGCTGCGGCTTCCCTTCTTCGCCGGCTTCTTCTCCTTCGCCGGATAATTACACTGATCACACAACCCTTCAAATCCTCATCAACGATGGGAATGACTCGATTGTTGCCCCGGGGGCGATGGTGGGAGATGGCAAGACCACGCCTCACAAGCGACCCATTTTTGGAGTCTCCTCCTCGAATAACCCATCTAATTCGTCTTCTTCCACCTCGATCTTCGTGAAATCTCCCCCCACTTTGAGCGATTCGACGCGAAAACACCCGTTTTCTTTTTCTCCCCCTCCCTCGAAGCGCCAATGTTCCTCGTTTAGGATCATGGGTGTCCAGGCTTACCATCAACTTCGTCACCTCCGCCGTGTTCTCCGGGTCCACCTCCACCTCATCCTTCTCCTCTCCTTACCATTCTTCTATTTCCTGGTTTCTCATCCTACCAACTCGTTTTTTCTCGATTTCCTTTCAGCTTTTGCCTTCTCGGCGGCCCTTCTGTTTTCCCTGAATTTGGCTCTTCCCAGACTGCCATCCATCCGGTTGTTCCTTTCTAGGTCTTTGCCGATCAAGCTCTCCTTGTCCGGCCAAGTGTCCACAAGCCGGCCTTTGCCAGCCGTGTTTTGGTCGATCGGGTCTAATAAGTTTGAGAAGAAGATGAATTCTGGGAATTTCGTGCAGGCATACAGGAATGGGGATGTGTATGAGGGTGAGTTTCACAAGGGTAAATGTAGTGGGAGTGGGGTTTACTATTACTATATGAGTGGGAGGTATGAAGGGGATTGGGTTGATGGTAAATATGAGGGTTACGGTGTTGAGACATGGGCAAGAGGGAGTCGGTACAGGGGGCAATACAGGCAGGGGCTTAGGCATGGCTTTGGGGTTTATAGGTTTTATACTGGGGATGTTTATGCTGGAGAATGGTCCAATGGGCAGAGTCATGGGTGTGGGGTGCATACCTGTGATGATGGTAGCCGATATGTGGGTGAGTTCAAGTGGGGTGTCAAGCATGGCCTCGGTCACTACCATTTCAGGTGCTTGGTTTATTCTCCTTCCCCCTTTAGGTTCATTTTAGTCCCTCAGTGGCTTGTTGGTCAATTACTTCCCACCATGCATTGTATATAGTCATTAGTTATTTCCATTTTTTAGTGTGAATCTTTTTATGGTTTAATTTGGCGTCTTAGTCACTGGCTTGTTTGTCAATTAAGACCGACCATGCATTGTATAGTCATTTCCATTTTCTAGTGTTAATTTTTTGTGGTTCAATTTGGTATCTTTACTGCTGCTTAAGGAAAATCTATGCAACCTTTGCCTCTGGAAAATATCCTCACACATATAACCTTCCATTTATTCCCCAAATAAAAATGCTATCTTTTGGATGCCTTTCACCATCCAAGGAAGAAGTCATTAAGAAACGAAGGATACATATGCTTGCATCATTAAGAAGTCATTAAGAAACGAAGGATACAGATGCTTGCATCATTAAGAAGTCATTCAGAAAATACAAAATATATGTCATGTGTGTGGTTGTTATTTAAAAACGAAGGATAGAGATGCTTGCATCATTAATTATGATCAGTGGTCCATGATTTCAATTTTGCTGGTCTAGTTATATGTTTAAGTGATACACGCATATTTTTTTTAACTCTCTCTTCCCAAACCAAACCAAACCGAACAAATCCACGAAGTCTCAATCAGAAGTAGGGTTTTGTGTAGGGAAGGGGTGATGTACACAAACCATTTCTCAACCCTCAGGGTAGAGAGACTGTTTCCGTGACAACCGCGGCTGAGTAAAAAACTTGATGTTTTTGAAAGACTTGCAGTTCTGAAACTTTGAAGATTTTGGTGAAATTTTTTATGTAGATTAAAGTCGTCACGGGTGAAAGGTTGTGTGAAAAGATCGGCACAAAAATGTTTGGGCAATATAAGGCATAAAGTGCAAGTTTTCACTCATGTCATACTTAAAATATATATACATATAAAGGAAAATAATTCTACGTAATAAGAATGTTATTTTGTCCTAGTCTTTTTATACAGAAATAGGAAATTGGGAAGTACCATCCTTGTAATATGTTTTGAAAATATATTTTTTGCTAGTATTGGAGCAACTTATGCACTTAGAGTTCTCTCCTTTTACGCTTGTAGTTGATTTCTTCTTTTCTAGAGAAAAAACCGTAAATTAAAATTCTTCTTATTCTGTTTTCTGTCTTTCAGTCTCATTAAGTACTACTTACTGACTGGCTTCACTATAAATAACACAGGAATGGGGACACTTATGCTGGAGAGTATTTTGCAGATAAGATGCATGGATTTGGGGTATATCACTTTGCAAACGGGCATAGGTATGAAGGAGCATGGCATGAGGGAAGAAGACAAGGATTGGGGATGTATACTTTTAGAAATGGAGAAGCTCAGTCAGGTCACTGGCAAAATGGGATTCTTGACATTCCAAGCACACAGAGTGTCTCCTCTCCTGTCTCTCCTGTCGCCGTTAACCATTCAAAAGTGCTTAATGCAGTCCAGGTAAATTCGTAATCTCATCATTTCTTTCAGGGTTGGGGTTGATAATTTGATATGAGCATCGTGGTTCACATTAATGCTTGGGTTGTCAGTTAATACACATGGTCTACATGGATAAAGTGGTCTGTGATGAGATTTTTTATTTACCTATATATTCTGTAGAATGAGATTACCTTACAGAATGGTAACAATGGGAATGCCTTAGATGGTAAAGAGATACTTGTGAATATATATTTTGTTACGAAGCTCCACAGTTCAGAGGGACGATGAACTAGATGGAGATGTATATTATAGAATTGGAGCACATTGGTTGAAACGAAAGAGTGTTTAGGATTTCTATGTGATCGAGGTATGCCGACTAGATTGAATGGTAAGTTTTATCGGACAACAATCAAGATTGCATTATTGTATGACGTATAATGTTGGGCAATGAAACAATCTCACATTGAAAAGATGTGTGTCGCTGAGTTGCACATGTCGCGTTGGATGCATGGACACACTAGAAAAGACCGTTTGAGGATTTAGACAATTTGGCAAAAGGTGAAAGTAACATATATTGAAGATAAGATGTGAAAATATCAATTGTGGTGGTTTAGCCATGTGTGTAGATGATCGAGTGATCCATTTGTTAGACGAGTTGAGAGTTGGGGAAAAGAGGGAGGGAGGAGAGGGAGAGGACAATCCCAATGGATATGTATTCGAGTGGTTAGGAATGATGTGACACTTCTTGAGTTGGTTGAGAGTTTGATTTTGGAGAGCAAACTGGAGGGAGAGTATACTTTTGCAGGATTAATCTTCTTTTGTCTTCTTTAACTCCAATCATATGTCTATTCATGTTAGCGACCCCAAACTCTTTTGGGACCAAGGATGTTACCTTTGGGATGTTGTTTTAATTGTTGTGTAAAATCTCCTTTTCTGCAAAATATTATATTCACATGTTATGCATAGTTTGTGTGTGTGGTGGTGTTAGCATTATATCCTTGTTCCTGAGATTGGCTTGGTAGGCCTATAACGTCTGGACTTAGTTACTTGATTTTTTTCTTTACTATGTGGTTTCATTTGATGATTCTGTACTATTTCTGGCCCCTTTTGTAAGGAATTGATCATTTGAATTGGATTACAGACTTACTATGAACAAAAGCGATGATGAAAATCCAGAAACTCCTTGGTTTTCTGAAATGTAAACAAACGTAGGCATTACACCCCATTCCGATGAAATACAAATTTACAATGCAATCCAAACACAAGAGACAACTATTATGGATGTTTTCTTATCCTAAAAATACGTGAACTAATTTGTGTTTTTCAAGGTCTAGGCTGGTCTGAATCTTGGTACTCTGATATGGTTTTTCTAATCTTTTCTAGTATTACTTGTTCTGATTTTTGAATAAATTGGTGTGATCCAATCATCCAAATCATTCTTGTGTGGCCTATAGTGGGAGGAGAGAGCATCAGACAGAGTTCAATAGTTATTATTTTCAAATGGGTGAATGATGTTTTTTGTGGTTTAGGAAGCACGGCGAGCAGCTGAGAGAGCTTATGGCGTGGGTAAGGTGGATGAAAGAGTGAACAAGGCAGTTGCCTCAGCAAACAGATCAGCTAATGCTGCAAGGGTTGCGGCAGTCAAAGCTGTCCAAAAGCAAATGCATCATCATCATCATCATCGAAGAAACAGCGACGAGCTCCCCATTCCCATTGTATAAAACAAAAAGGCATGCAAGACAGACCAAGGTTGAGAACAAATAATTGCTCGTTTTTGTTGTTGAGAATTCAGCTCAGTTTTCAAAGGTGACGTAGAAGCAGTGGAATGGGTAGATAGCCATGATCTGGTGTATCAATTCTATCTATACAGAATCTTTCCATTTATCTACTTGATCTTTATTTTTTTCCAAACTTCTGAAGGAGCAGAGTGTGAACTGGAAGTAGAGTGGTGCTGGAGTTGAGGATAAACCTGACCCAGCCGGCTTTAATGTGTATATATTAAAGAAATGAGTTGCGTCGTTTTACTTTTCTCTGTGGTGTTTTTTCTTTCTACAATTTTAAAGAAAACAGTTTGTGCAAGTTTCAACTAGCACCCGACGAATAAAGCAGTGATACATCTCTCCGCCCCATATACAGTTTTTACTGCGATAATTTGAGTTTGCAATTCATTTTATCGTTCAAATTGGACTTTACACCTAGTGGTGGACTGAACCGGGCTGGTTCGGGCCTCGGGCCTAGGCCCGGCCGGGCCTCGGTTCAGTAATACAGGCCCGAGCCCGAACCGGGGTAGGGCGGTCCCGGTTCCGGTTCCGGTTCCGGGCCGGACCGGGCCGGTTCGGGCCACCCGGTTTAATTTTTTTTTTTTCCCTTTCTTCCCCACCCCCCACCCCCCCCCAAACCCCCCAAACCGGCCTAAACAGATAGCCCAAGCCCAACAGCCCAAAAAAAATGAAAAAAATTAAAAAAAAAAATAGATTTGGCCCGGACCCGGGTCCGAACCAGCCGGGCCGGGCCGTCAAACCCATGAACCGAGCCCAGAACCGCCCCACCCCCGGGCCTCCGGCCCGAACCGGACCCGGACCCGGAAAATCGGGCCGGGCCGGGTCCGCACAGTAGCGGGTCGGGCCGGTCCCGGGCCGGGCGGCCCGAACCGAGGCCATGCCTGTTTACACCCATGTTTAAAAATCTTAGTTTTTGCACCCCAATTCCACATGAAAAGACAAAAATGCCCTTGATTAGGAATATGTTGAAGAAAAACATAATTATTAATTGATGGACATTTTTGTCTTTTCATATTGGGTTGAGGTGCAAAAACACAGATATTTTAAAAAACGAGGTACAAAGTTCGATTTGAACAATAAAATGGGGTGCAGACTCAAATTGCCCCTTTTACCATTGCTTAAAATATGCGTTTTGATATAAAAAGCTAGAAGTGATGTCTTCAAACACTCGTTTTGCAAACATATAGCCAAAATTCTATAGTTAAAAGGTGAAAAAAAACGTTTTAATCTTATTACTTATTGCTTATTCTTATATTATTCAGATCAAATCAGATTAGAATCATTCAGATCAGATCAGAAAAGTTTAAAAATGATTTATCACTTTTATTATTATAATATGTATTATTATTGTTGTGTTTATTATTATTACTATTATTATTATGATTATTATGATTATTATTATAATTATTGCTATTACTATTATTATTACTATTATTATTATTCTTATTCTTATTATTGCTATTATTATTCTTGTTATTGTTGTTGTTGTTGTTGTTGTTGTTGTTAATATTGTTGTTATTTTTATTATACGCAAAAGTTCTAATTACAATAACAATTATAATTACAGAAATTAATATTATAATTACAATTACAATTAACATTAAATTATTATTGCAATTATAATTATAGCTATATTTATAATTTGTGTAATAGGTATAATTATTATAATTACAATTATAATTGTACAATTTTTTTTTTACAATTATGATTTTAATTATAATTATATTTAATTTATATTTATAATTAAAACTATAATAAATACATTGGAATTATATTTATAAATATGGTTTTAATTATAATTATATTTGAATAATATTTATAATTATGATTTTAATTGTAATTATATTTAAATTATATTCATAATTATGATTTTTATTATAATTATATTTATAATTACAATTATAATAATTATAATTGTAGTTATAGAAATATTCAAATCAGATCAGATCAGAAAGATTCAGATCAGATCAGGAGGATTCAGATCAGATCAGAAAGATTCAGATCAGATCAGATCAGAAAAATTCAGATCAGATCAGAAAAATTCAAATCAGATCAGATAATAAAAATTCAGATCAGGTAATAAACATTCAGATCATATCAGATCAGAACTTAAAAAATTCAGATCAGAAACATTCAGATCAGGTGAAGAGAACAACCTTGTAGTGTCTTTTGTTTTTTACCTAACTCAATGTGGTTACCGCACGCACACACGCACGCGCGCGCACACGCACACACGCACGCGCGCGCGCACACACGCACGCGCGCACACACACACGCACACGCACAGGAGAATGATCAAGTTGGATAAGCTTAAGATGTACGTAGTACAATTTTAGACATCTTCCAGTTTTAACAATTTAGAGTCCGTTTGGTGACTTTAATTTTCGGTTTATTATGTTTATATGAGCTGATTTTTTCATCGAACACGTATCTTTTAATTTCACGCATTGAATTGTGTAATAATAAGAAAAAAGTAAGATTGAAGTTACTTTTCTGCCTATGAGTAGATGTCACTCATGTCATCATAGCATGGTCACAAGGACTATTATAGCATGGTCACAAGGACTATTAGACCAAAAGGTAGTCTTGGGGTTACATAGACTTGTCATTATCATCACTCTAGAGACAAACTAAAGAGGATGGCCTGAACACGTTGGCGATAGAGATGTTGCAACGTAAGGACTTCTTCTAATCTTTGGATTGGTTCTACAGTAGAGCATATGGAAGTTCTCACATGATACAAACTTACAAAGACCATCAATTGACTCAAAAAGTGTATGTGTCCTACAAAATTTAAAATTATTTAGGAGTGGAGTAACTAGACATAACATGATCAATGAAAGTTCAGTGTTGTTGGTCCAAAGACCACCAAAGTCGATATCATTCGTCTCAAGTGGAGACGGTGATACAAGATGAGGTTCCCTGTGACGATGTTGAATCATTTTATTATTAGGAGACATATAGTGATCTAAGGTAGGATGGTTCATGCGTCGTTGGACTAGATGTAGTGACTTGTACCTAAATCTTATTAAAGCAGTCTTGTACCTATGAGGGTTGTTCGAGGTATGTTTTCTTGCTCACTTGCTTTCTCACTCTCAAATAGTTCGCTCACTTCGATTGTGCTCCTTATGTAGGCTTGTTCGGTTGTACTGAATCATTGGGACTTAATATGCATTGAACTTTGTGTAAGATATGTGCTTAACATTGTTTGGCGTCAAGGAGCAGAAAAACACCCCCCCCCCCCAAAAAAAAAAAAAAAAACCGCATCATTTACATCTCGGCATGTAGGTGTCTACTCCTCAAACCCTATAGCCATCTCAGCTTCTGGACTGCTTCAGGACTGGGGACTAAAATTACCAAAAAAACATTGAAGGCACCAACAAAGACACAATGAAGCTTTCCTCACCATGGAATAAGTCATCTCGAACTGCAACTACAAACACGGAAGAAAATCAAAGAATATGATCAAAATCAGACAACTATACTCCCTTTCACTTCGAAGACTCTCAACTCAAAGAGTGAGGGTCTCCTCATAGAATATATTGACCCAGACCCACAACCCACATACTCTTGGATGCACAAACGGCTCGAGCCCATCACACTACTTGGGGCCTCTCAACCAAATCCAGTCCAGAATGAAGACGTATGCCTGATGTCCGTACCCTCACCTTAACATCAGATCTGTCACCTCGGTCAAAGGTCCCAGACATCGGTTAGGAACACGGACGACACAATACCCAAATGTCACCTCGGTCAACAGAGAACGCCTGGCCAAAAGTTGGTTAAAGAATGACACTAGACATAAATTTTACTAGCATTTGTTATTGCAGTTTGAAACATACTCAATGAGTCATAATACAAATTCATTACCATTTATTTTGAATACCCCAGACGACATACAACTACATATTATCACTATGAAATAGAAATTAAAATCCCAATGACTATACTATGCGTACTACGAGCCCTGTCTCCATAAAAATTGGGGCAAAGGAGAGTGATGCAGTTTTTAAGAAAAATAAAGTTATGTGATTGATAATGAATTGAAAAAGAGAGGATGAGTTAGAGCCACATGTATGAGACAAATGTATTGGGACAGGCGGAAAAGAAAAATGAGACAATTATAGTGAGACAAATGGAGTATGTTGGAAGTCACTTTGACTATGGAAAACGGTAATGTAAATGGAGAAATGATTGGAGAAAGTGACTGTTGGGGGGGGGGGAGTACGGCTAAATATTGGATTGGAAGGAGGCGACCGTTGAATGTATATATATTAATACAATTGTCATTTATGAATTACTTCTACGCAAAAAAAAAAAAACTTACTAGGATTAATAAGGCCACGTAAGGTGTCACGCCTTTCTTAAATGATTTATCACGCATTAACATGCTAGTTTAGAGATGCGTGAATTACTTAAATAGGACTAAAAAGGACTAAAATCATAAATAGGAGCAGTAGTTTTAAAATAACCAATATATGACTTTTTTGTGATTGGACAAAAATGCCCCATCCACAACCTACGTCGTCGTCGCCGGACTGCCCGCCACCAACAGACTGCTCGGGTTCCCAAAGAAACTAGGGGGAAATTAATTAATTAGATTAGGGGTATGAAGGGTAGAAAATTAATGTTTGATCATGTTTGTGAAAGATTTAGGTTTTAGAAGCTGTTCTGTTTGTCTTAATCTTATTACTTATTGCTTATTCTTATTTTATTCAGATCAGATCAGATCAGATCAGAATAATTCAGATCAGATCAGAAAGATTCAGATCAGATCAGAAACATTTAGATCAGATCAGGAACATTCAGATCAGATCAGGAACATTCAGATCAGATCAGAAAAGTTGAGACATGATTTATCCCTTTTATTATAATAATTATAATAATATTAATTATTATTATTATTATTATTATTGTTGTTGTTGTTGTTGTTATTGTAATTACTAAAATTATTGATATTATTATTGATATTATTATTATTGATATTATTATTATTATTATTATTATTATTATTATTATTATTATTATTATTATTATTATTATTATTATTATTATTATTATTATTATTATTATTATTATTATTATTATTATTATTATTATTATTATTATTATTATTATTATTATTATTATTATTATTATTATTATTATTATTATTATTATTATTATTATTATTATTATTATTATTATTATTATTATTATTATTATTATTATTATTATTATTATTATTATTATTATTATTATTATTATTATTATTATTATTATTATTATTATTATTATTATTATTATTATTATTATTATTATTATTATTATTATTATTATTATTATTATTATTATTATTATTATTATTATTATTATTATTATTATTATTATTATTACAACTACTACTACTATGATTATTATTATTATTATTATTATTATTATTATTATTATTATTATTATTATTATTATTATTATTATTATTATTATTATTATTATTATTATTACAACTACTACTACTATGATTATTATTATTATTATTATTATTATTATTATTATTATTATTATTATTATTATTATTATTATTATTATTATTATTATTATTATTATTATTATTATTATTATTATTATTATTACAACTACTACTACTATGATTATTATTATTATTATTATTATTATTATTATTATTATTATTATTATTATTATTACAACTACTACTATGATTATTATTATTATTATTATTATTATTATTATTATTATTATTATTATTATTATTATTATGATATTTATTATTATCATGATTATTATTATTCTTACTACTATTATGGTTGTTGTTGTTATTGTTATTAGTTTTGTTTTCGTTATTATCATATTATACGGAGTAATTACAAATGAAATTATAGAAATAAATATTTTAATTATAATTAAAATTATAATTATATAAATAAATATAACTATAAATATAATTACAATTATAAATATAGCTATATTTATAACTAGTGGAATACGTATAATAATAATTATACCTATTATAATTATGTTTATAATTATAATTATAATTATAATTTTTATAATTATGATTATAATTATAATTATATTTAAATTATATATGTGTAATTACATTTATAATTATAGTAATTATAATTATATTTATAATTATAATTTTAGAAATATTCAAATCAGATCAGATCAGAAGAATTCAGATCAGATCAGGAACGTTCAGATCATATCAGGAACATTCAGATCATTTCAGGAACATTCAAATCAAATCAGATCAAAACTTAAAAAATTCAGATTACAAACATTAGAGGAAGAAGAGCTTCAAAGTCTTAGTTGAACAATTTGGGTCGAAGGTTATGATTAGATGACGGGTAAAGCAAATTGCCTAACAGTCAAGACTAGCACGTAAGAATTGTCAAACGTCTTCGGGGGCTAAAACCGCGTGCGCTTGTAAAAATTCTGCTCGTAATTGGATTAGCGCCGCCCGCCCTGAACTTTCCCTTATTCCACTGTTCCTTGCACCTGTGAAATTACCATGTTTCTGCTCATAGATTGCTCCAAATGCCGGACCACATTGCAGCTGCCTCCGGGGGCCCGATCGATCCGGTGCGCAATTTGCCAGGCGGTGACTCAAGTCGCTGATCCACGCGCCGTCCATCCTCCGCCGGCTGCAAATCACTGGCCGGATTCGGCCCCCCCGCCCGCCACCTCTCCTTCTCCGTACAATCACGCCCCTCCTGGCCCCCCTCCCAACGTGCACGGCCGGAAGAAAGCCTTGATCGTCGGCATATCGTACAGGCACTCGAGACACGAGCTCAAGGGATGTCTCAACGATGCCAAGTGTATGCGCTACCTTCTCATAAACAAGTTTCAGTTCCCAGAATCTTCTATTCTTATGCTCACAGGTATACGACTTTTACTTAGTCATATAGATAAGATTGTCTCATAGATGAACATTAATAAGACTCCATGATTTGTACTCCGACTTTATTGTTTCTAACATTGTGAATGGTTATAAAATGATGGGTTGAACATTCTTTTTTTTACTCATTCAGCCCTCTAAGCATTTGTAAGAACAACAACCAGTATCTCTCATTTTATTGTGAAGAGTGAAGAAGAAATTAAAAAGTCGTGGACTTCGTTTTTTTAAAAGCTTCTTGTGTTTGTCATCATCCATTGTTATTGTGTTAGGCTATGCTTAAAGGTCTTAACTTTCTCTCTGTTTTGTTGAATTATCTATATGTAGAAGAGGAGACTGATCCCTATAGAATCCCAACCAAAGCCAATATGCGACTAGCACTATTTTGGCTTATACAAGGATGTCAACCTGGGGATTCCTTGCTATTTCACTATTCTGGGCATGGATCGAGGCAAAGGAACTACAATGGTGATGAAGTTGATGGATACGATGAAACATTATGCCCTTTGGACTTTGAAACTCAGGGAATGATAGTCGATGATGAAATAAACGCATCAATCGTCAGGCCTCTTACTCCTGGGGTCAAGCTTCATGCAATAATTGATGCATGTCACAGTGGGACTGTCCTGGACTTGCCATTTCTGTGTAGAATGAACAGGTAGGTAACACACTGATTATATTTCATGTTATGTTGGGCTATTGCTTTGGACTGTGTTTTTGTTATCTCATTGTTTTTTGCCTGGAAATAGACTCATGTGGTAATATAACCCCCTTTACTTTTTCTGGTCATTACTTATTCTTGTTTTAAAGTATAAACAGATCAAACCTGACAAAAAACATTCAGTCTAGACCACACAAGAAAGATTCTGACCATGCTAGACTAGATGTTATTATTCAGACAAGAAAATTATGTAAGAAGCAGGCCAGAATAAGACTTTTAGGCCTAACTATATGTAGAGATATTATAATATTTAGTTTATTATTATGAGATCTGTCCTGATCATGATCTGACTTCCTCCTGATCATAATCTGATTTCCTAGAATCAAGTAGGAGATTTGTATTAATTATAAGATCCTGTACATAATTACTCTTTCCTTTATTAAGTTAGCTTAGGCCTATAAATTGTATTTTAGCTGTTGCATTTACAATTGATCAATAAAACTCTATTCTTCAAGTTGGTATCAGAGCTTCCCGATTCTAGGGGCTCTGCTTCTGCACGCAAACAGAAAAAAAAAACTTTTTTTTCATCACACAATTACTGCCAGAAGGCTGCTCCTCTAGGTTCTGTTCTAGAGGTGTTTTTTTTCCTTCTTTTCTTTGACCTGGGGTTCCATCCTAAAAGTAGGATGAGTAGTCCAAAGCCTTGTATAGTGTTTAATTGTTTTATAGCTTTCCGGTGTGGGACAAATGCTTTAACACGCCCACTCAAACGGGCTGGACAATATCGGGGTGTATAAACGGGCCAAACAAACCCTTAACAAGCTACTCTTAATCATGGGTGCTAAACAAGCCGTCAAACCACAACCGGAATTGGCTCTGATACCATGTTAAGACCTGGGGTTCCATCCTAAAAGGTCAACCTGATAGGAGGAGTAGCCCAAAGCCTTATATAGTGTTTAATTGTTTTATAGCTTTCCAGTATGGGACAAATGCTTTAACACTATACCTTAAAAGATCTAGATCACATTATATTTTGTTCAGGCAAAGAAAATAGGCCTTATATATAGGACACATGAGATTCCTCAAGGGGGTGGATTTTTATGATCATGCATTTACTGGCTTACTGCATTATCTACAGTTTTTTACTTTTGTTTTCCTTTTTTCCATAGAAGCTTCTGCTGAACATATGGTGTGCTGATGTTTCTCTTTATTGTTTGGTGGGGCCGTGGGGGAGGGGGTACACATGAAACTGAATTCAGGGCTCTTATATTCCCTAAAGAAGTTACTTTAATGTTCAGTCCTTGTTTCCTTACTCCTTAGCATCCGTGATTTTCTCTTAGAAACCTTAGTATGCTAGTTAAAGACTTTCAAAAATCTCTTTGTTACAAGAAAAACATCAATAGGACATTTAGTGGATATATAATGTTCCCTCACTGATTGAATTGTTTTATCGCATTATTAGTTACAATTTTAGTAGTTTTGTTAAATTCACCCCAGCTACTTGAATGCCTGAATGATGAGAGCTTAGTATTTTCTGTACTACCCGTCTTTCAAGAAAAGGGATACCTTTTAATAAGCACTCATATTTTGGAGTAATTCTTTATAGTTCACATGTGTCCAAGCCGTTCTATTGATTTACTTTGGTCTACTGCCAATAGGAACGGTCAATATATGTGGGAAGACCATCGTCCCCGTTCAGGTATGATGAAAGGAACAAGTGGAGGTGAAGCAATTTCTTTCAGTGGTTGTGATGATGACCAAACCTCTGCTGATACATCTGTAAGCTCTCTAATTGCTTACCTTACTAAAGGAAAACCTACATGTGAACTTGGTTCTTAGGGTCTCTTTGAAATTCAGAAATGCTAATGAAAGAACATATAGAGGTAAATATAGGGGTAAATTTGGAACGAATGAAAACGAAGAGGAATTATAAAAACTGTTTTGAACTCAATATATCAAATTTGGGGCATTTTTATTAATATATTCTACTAGATAAACAAAATTTAAAAATCAAATTTGAATATAAAGAAAAAAATAAATCTAACTTGAATTTCCTTTGTATTTAGTAACATGAAGCCAAACATAAGAAAACACTCTCCTTGGCAATTTTATTTCCCTTTCCCTACCATTTTTTAGGTCTAAACATAAGCTGAGTCTGAGATGGTAATAGATCAAAGCAATTTTTGTGGTGGCTAGGCTCTATCAAGAATAACTTCAACTGGTGCCATGACCTACTGCTTCATTCAAGCTATTGAGCGTGGGCATGGAACCACTTATGGTAGCATATTGAATGCAATGAGAAAAGCAATCCGAGAAGCAGGTGGTGGTGGAGTAGGAGGTTCAGGAGGTGATCTAGGTGGTGGCATTGTCACATCCCTCCTCTCCATGCTTGTGACAGGCGGCAGTAGTATTGGTGGAGGATTTAGACAGGTAATGAAGTCTACAAGTACTCTCAAGAGTTAAGTCTTATTTTTTTTTCCTCTTAAGAGTTAAGTCTTAAATATACATTTCTCTACAATATACCTACCCATACTGAGATTACAAAATCTTGATTTAAACCTGGGGACATTCAGAATTAACTTAATAACTTATACGGAGTACTACGTATAAAAAACAAGTCATAATGTTTACTCTTCCAGTGGTTTCTTGGTATGCGGTGTGGTGGATGGGAACATAATCATTGGGTGAAATGATTTCATCTGTTGGTATACATTTGGAATAGTGAAGGAATAATCTGTATATACCGAAATGTCTGGACATGCATAAAAATTAAAAATACCATAACCAGAAGAGACAAAATCATTTTCTTACAAGCAATCTCCCTTTTCTTCCCAAGCTGCCTGGTGAAGATGTTCAATGAAGGGCTAATCCCCTGTACGTGGTGTTTTTTAGTTTTCAATGTATTCATACAGCATATGTATTCGTTTTTTAATTATGAAAAACACAAAAACTAAAACTAATAAACCCTCCGCATGGGGCGAGAGAGTAGGGATTGACCTATTTCAAAGTCAATTGAAATGATCAGTCAAACTGCTGAACTGCCGTCATCTTGTAATTATGAGTGAAAGAATGTACTCACAAGGTAACTCCTCGTCCTTCATTCTTTTATATTTTCTTTATTTATCTGAAATTTGTTGTGTCATACACTTGTTTAACAGGAACCGCAGTTGACTGCATGCCGAACCTTCGATGTCTATTCAGAGCCTTTCTCCTTGTGAAACCAAACCCTTCTTTACCATATCACATTATTACCCTATTCACTTATATGCAATGTAGATATTGCTTGTTTAGGAAATCATTTTATTGTTACTTTGACTAATTATGTTGTTGAAAAAATGTGCTCAGTAAATTCGTTCTTCTGTTATCTCGATTAAATGTGTTGATTAAAAAAATGCAAATGCTTTATACCCCTAAAGTACCGTTGGCAATTCAAGTTGTGCCTAGTAAATTCGTTCTTCTATTATTGGATTCGAATGGTATTATAGCATTTACCAAAAAATGCAAGTGCACATTTATTTACACTACGAATGTTTTTAATTTGATTATTGATTTTTTTTGTCTGCTCTAAACTAGTCTAATTTGGTTTGATATGTTTACGTCTAATCTAGTTTGATCTTAGGGCCCGTTTGGTACGGTATAAAGTAAACACTTTGCATGCAAAGTGTGGGGACGTAAACATTTTACACCGTTTGTTTTAATTGTTTAATGTAAACTGTAGGACACTTTTTTTAAATCATTTTACACCGTACCGTGTAAAATATTTTACGTGGGTGGAGGCTAGTAAATTAGTTTGCATCGATTAATACCTATCCTAAAATGTATCACTTCTAGTTTTACGATCCAGACAATTACCTTCAACTAATTACTCTAGAAAATTGCTTTCATCTTATCTACGAAGTATAAAGTTTTGTCTTCGATCATCCATCTGACCCCGTTAAACACAAGCAGAGCCCTTGGTAAAATAAAAAAAGTCAATTGGGAAACTAAAACCTACGCATTTATGTCCCAAAGAAATAAAATAATGCAAATATATTAAAATTAACTAGTGTCGATCTACTCCAAGCCGTATTAGATGAGCACATGTTTCCCTGCCTTGGAAAGGAGTCAATTTCGGATTTATATGTTTTAAAAAGTTTGGGTGTAATTTAAAAATAGATTACATGCATGACCAAACGATGTATTCTATTTTACACGCAAACTATTTCACTGTCTTAAACTTTACGTGCAATCATTTTACATGTAAAGTTTTAATGTGTAAACAACCAAACGGGCCCTTAATTGATCTAGTTTGATATCTTAATTTCCGGTCTATACAGGGCCGTCTAATGAATAGACTAGATAATTTAGTGAAATATAAGTTTTATACGAAGAAATGTTTAAAGTACATAAATTAGACAATCTAAAATCAGTGATGGACCCGGGCCGGGCCGGGTCGGGTCCGGGCTGGGCCTAGGCCCGGTCGGGCTTTAGAAGTTGGGAGGTAGCCTTGGACCCGGTTCGGGCCACCCGGCCCCGGATCCAGCCCGACACGGTACTGTGCCGGCCTGGCCCGAGAACCGTTTACCGGTTCCAGGTCTAGGCCCGATTTAGGGGGGTAATCGGGGTGGGTACGAGTCTGGGATATATGGAACCGGCCCGACCGGTTTCGGGCACGATTCGGGCTTTATTTTTTATTTTTTAACTTTCCGGGTTGGGCTGGGTATTTTGGGCCATTTGGGCTGGTTTGGGGGTGGGGGTGAGGGGGGGAGGGGGAGGGGGTTAATTAGAAAAAGAAAAAAAATATAAAGAAGCCCGAGGCCCGGCCCGGACTTGACCCGGTGGATACTTCGGGCAGGTGCAGGTCCCGGGCCCAACCCCAAATCCCAAAAAGCCCATCGGGCCTAGGCCCGACCCGGCCCGAATCCAACCCTATTGGGAGGTAGGCCCGGAACCGGCCCGGGTAACCCCCGGGTCTTGGTCTGGCCCGGGCCGGGTCGGGCCTCGGGCCAAATTCAATTTTTTTTCCTTTTTATACTTAAACCCCGACCCCCCCTCCCTCACCCCAACCCCCAAACCACCCCAAATGGCCCAAAATACCCAGCCCAACCCGGGAATTAAAAAAAATGGCCCGAACCGGCCCCGGCCCGACCGGTTCCTTATTTTCCTGACCCGATCCCGCACCGGAAAACCCCCTGGGCCGGGCCTACCCAGACCGGTCCCTAGTCGGGCCACCGGGTCGGGCCGGGCCTAACAGTACCGGGCCGGGTCTGGGTCGGGCCACCCGGCCCGAGTCCACGACTATCTAAAATTATAGACCTTTTGAAATCTGGAATAATACATAACGTTCAAAAAATTCAATCTCTAACTAGTATTACATACTAAATTTTTGGAGACCCTTATAAGATTGGGGCCCGGTGTCAAGCACCTATTTCACCTACTAAAAGACGGCCCTGAGTCTATATGTATTTATAACCGTCGATATCTAGTTTGATCTGCTTTTGTTTGAGATTGAAACCTGCTCAAATAAAAACATCTTAAAAGAAAAAATAAACCATATTTTAGTTTGTGAGGGGGCACAAAAAGCTCGATACTCTTCAAAATTATTACACACACGTGCACTAAATTAATAGCCCGTTTGGTAATACTGAATCGGCCGATTCTACTGAAATTTATGAAGTTCTGGTTGAAGTGGCTGTATTGACTGATTATGCTGATTTATGAAAAAATTATACTAGATTAGACGATACAGTCAGACAGACCGTAATTGTGTAATATTGAGGCCCCCTGAAGTCACTGCCGATGGATTAATTGTCAACAGCGATGGTAAGTCACTGACGAAGGCGACAAGGTAATTGGCGGCCACGGCAGGTTAATGCGGCTGAAGTCCACGGTAGGTCACTATGACCGGAGTAAGTGTCACTGTCACTGGAGATGCGTGTCACTGTCACTTGGCATATGTGTCATTGTCACTAGTCATTGTGAAAATAGTTGAATTGATCACTGTACCTTTGGTCACTGTAGTGAAATACTGTAGTTGGTCAATTGGGCTTAGGCTAAGTAAGGGTGTAATAGCCCCTTTAGTATTTTGTAGTCTCATTTTTGGAAATTAAAAAACAAAGCCTCTTTTTGGCCCACATCTCTTTTTTTAGTTATATTTTGATGGGAAATTATCATTCATCTCCCTTGAGGTTTAGTGTATTATCACTTACACCCTTATACTATCAAAAATTTACTCTTACCCCACTCTCTATCTTTAATGATGATTAAGTAACTTTTAATTTACACTTAGAGCCCGTTTGATAGTTTACACATTAAAACTTTGCATGCAAAATGATTGCATGTAAAGTTTAGGGTATTGTCTTAATAAAACTACATAATAAAAAATTTATAGAAACTCACTAAAATGCCACTAATTAGATTTCTCCATTCAATACAGCTCGAACATAAATCAACTTTACACCATAACAAACAGGCCCTTAGAAAAAATTACAGATATAGTTCCATAACTTTTGACAATGTCCACATTTGATGTTGTGATTTTATTCAACCACGAATCTAATTGGATAATTAATAAATTTGTCCATATCAAAGATCCTTCCACCGAAAATAGAAGCCAATGAAACAAAAAACGATCAAAACTTTTTTTTTTTTTTTTTTTTTTTTTTTTTTTATATCTCACTCTATATGAGACACTTGATGCCTTTGGATTAAAAGAAAAAACTGAATTGAAAAGGGTTGATCAAAACATGCTATAATTGAACAAAATTGAAACAAACCAATTGAAATTAACCGAAACTAACACTCTAAGGTGGTTCTTGCTTTCATTAATCTCGAAATCTATTGTAAAAATAGAAGCGATTAACATCATATTCCTAATTCTCAGCTAAGCATTTCTCATACAAATTTAAATCAAGTTAGACCATAAAAATTAAATTTATTTCTCAAAATATACTTTAGAGTTAGTTTTGGTTAATTTCAATTGATTTATTTCAATTGAGTCATTTTTCAAAGGGAAATTATCATTGACCTCTGTTGAGGTTTAGTGTATTATCATTCACACCCCCGCACAATAAAAAATGTACTATTACCCCCTCCCTATTTCTTAGTCATGGTTTAGTGACTTCTAATTTACGTTTAGAGAAAATTATAGACACAATTTGGTTTCGGTTAATTTCGATTTGGTTGTTTCAATTTTGGTCAATTTTAGCATGTTTTGATCAACTCTTTTCAATTCATTTTTTTAAATCCAAAGTCATAAAGTGTCCTATATAGAGTGAGATAAGTTTTGATCGTTTTTTGTTTCATTAGGTTTGATTTTCGGTGGAAGGGTCTTTGATATGAACAAATTTATTAATCATCCAATTAGATCCGTGATTGAATAAAATTTACTCTAAGTGTAAAATAAAAGTTACTTAATCATCATTAAAGGATAAAGGAGGGGGGGGGGGGGGTAAGAGTACATTTTTGATAGTGTAGGGGTGTGAGTGATAATACACTAAACCTCAAGGGAGGTGAATGATAATTTCCCTATTTTGATATAACCCCATTTTTAAAGCAAAATGGGTTTAATATGCACAATTGAAAATATGGAAGAGAGACTCGCTCATTAGCGGATAGCTTCCTAGCGACTTTCGCTTAGGGGTTTTTCTTCCGCTGCTTTTAGCTTGCGCCTTGGTTTTCTTCTACCGATGTCATGTTACGTTCGTTGCTTGGTGGCTATCTTATACTGTTTGGAGTTGGTAAGGGGGAACCATGGAGATCGGCGTCTCTCACTCGCAACGAAATATGGCCGGATTTGTGGGATTGACGTTTAGCTTTGTTATCTGGTTTGTGGGTAAATGGAATGTTTGAGTTCAATGGCTTGCTGGTCAGACGTGGTTCTTGATTTGAGGGTAGCCGCAAAGGCGGCACGCCCCCCCTCCTAAACCGCCGCCTCGAAGTGGCCGCGTGACTAGGGTTGGGAAGACGAAACTTCAAGGCCCACCTGAGATTCTGAAAAAGTCTTCTCTCTAAGAAAGAAAGATTAATGCTCTCGTGATTCTGGGGAAGCTGTTTACCTTTACTAGTTTCTGCTTTCTTTTAGTTTTTTTTTTGTGTGGGTCAAGATGTTATGTTGGTTGTGTTTTTTGTTTTACTTCTGTCAGTCTCTGTAGTTTGGGTCAGGTGATAGGAAGTCAATTTTGATCATCTTTGACTCAGTTATGCCCATTATAGGATTAGCGAGTCATATTGCTTTTTTGTAAAGTGATGAATTGTTTCTGGGTCTGCTTTGAGGGATGGTGATTGGGATGAGACTTTTTTCGTTTGTTGTTTGCCCAAGTTCTGATTATTTAATATAAGTCACTTTCTTTATGATAAAAAAAAAAAGCAAAATGGGTTTAATGCACTTGTGCACCAAAATCCCTCGTGATATAGAAATTTAGCGCATTAGCTCATTGTGATTTAAAATATTCATCAAACGACTCCCTTGTTATACTTATTAATGCATAGAACCCCTTTTATGAATAAATTCACCAATTTGAAAAACATTTTTC